TATATGTAGCTTGGAAACCTTGTTTGGTTTTGTTGATTAAATTACAGACAAGGGAACAAAGATTTTTATAAAGAATATTTTATGATTCCTTTGCTATAAAGGACAATCCCATCCGTATTCTTCATTAATGATATAATACTCTTCACTGCTTATCTCATGAGTGGAACACCAGAAGTACTGACTTGATCTGACTGGTGACACTTTGTACGTCTCTCGTCCTGGTTCTCCAGGTAACCTTAGAACTAGTGCCTTAAGGAGAAAAATCGTGAAGATATGGTCATGGGAAGGCAGAGTACAGATGATTTGTCTTTATTCCAAAGTTGAGCCTTCATCTTTGATGTTTCACAAACATGAAGAAAAGCCAAGCATTGATCACAAAGTCAGGGTTGGTGGATATATATCTGGAAAAAACAGAGATTCAAAGAAGGGGTGGAAACAATGAAAGGAACAAGAGTTTCAGAAGAGGACAAAGGTGCTTATAATTAAATACAACTTTATCAATCTAATATATTAAGTGATCCAGCATTTTTGTGGGATGTCTGTTCCCATGCACCCTGCTAGCAAATACATATCATTCCAGCTTAACTTTGTATCTGTATGTTTACTGATATAGCTAAAAAATAAGCCAAGTTGGACTCGAGCTATCAGGTTACCTTTCTGGAGAATATTCATACTTTGTTACTTTGTTAACACCTTGCATAGGGATAGATTCCTGTGCACAGTTCCTCATCCTAATCTCTTTTGTGCCTCCTTCTGTGATCTCCTCTAGCCTTGCCTGTATATAACTCATCCCTTCATGTTTTAACCTTTTTTTTTTTTTGACAAACTGAATATTTAGTATGTGGCCATATTGAATAATCTTCTGAAGAACGGAATTGAGCCAAACTTCATTTATGCATTTGAGATAGAAACATTAAAAAAGAGCAGTAGAATATGTATAGTACTCATTAAGATGGTATAATAAAACATTCATTTAAATTGCATCTAGGTCAAATCAGCAGTATAAACCATCTTTTTTGTTTTTCTCCATATTCTGTAACATGCATTAGACTGTATGTTTTGGGGAGTAGGGGGGGTATATCTTTTGATCTTTGTGTATCCAGTGCCTAATATAGTTCTTGGCGTTTTTGTTGAATAAGTAAATGAATGATTTGGATAATCAAATACGAACTTACTTGAAATGTTGAAGGGACTTGAGTGATGGTAAAATGCAGAAGAAAGTTTGCCCTATCTCTTTGTTCACTTTCATTGATTCTGTTATAAGACCAACCATAGTCTTTTCAGTATTCTCTTGGGACTCCTGCTTTTTCATTTGGAAATAAAAATCACAAGCAAGGAAGAGAAAAGAAGTCCATGAATAAGGGCATAGAGTGGTGGGAATCTAGGTTTCTGAAGATTGAAGATAAGAAAAAAGCCCACTGGGTTTGGGCACCTGGGTGGCTCAGTTGGCTAAGTGTCTTGACTTGATTTCAGCTCAGGGTTGTGAAATTGAGCCCCACATCAGGTTCTAGTCTGAGCATGGAGTCCACTTGGGATCCTCTCTCCTTCTCCCTCTGCCTCTTCACACCCATCCCCCCCAAAAGCCACTAGGTTTGCTGACTTTATTAACCTCTCCTGTAGCTCCTAATTGGTTAAAAAAAAAAAAAGATTAGTGTTTATCAACCCATATATAATGAAATGGTACCACCCTCCACAGAAGAATTCTAAATGGCTAATGATACTCAAGTTCACTGTCAGGAAAATATAGACTAAATGAAAATTTAGTTCCTCCTTTCACCTATCAGACTGGCAAAAAATTAAATTTTAACAAGTGTGCAAAGAAGCAGACATTTTTAACCATTGGTAGTTAAAATTTCCAGCATTTTTAGATGGCAATTTGACCCACCAAAATCCACCAGGATCCAAGTATCTTAATAAATTTTTTGAGTCTTTGGCCAACAATTCCACTTTAACGTGCCTATCCAACAAAAATATTTTCACATATGGCTTTGTATCCAAAGCTATAAGTATCACTAAAGTATGGTTTATAATAGCAAAAAAGAATGCAAGAGTCTAAGTGTATATTAATAAATAAATATAAAGATCCTCTATGAATAGATTGTTAAGATACAATGTTAAATGAAAAGACCATTTTATAAAACAAGTTTACAAATATTTGTGGAGTACATATGCATTTTTATGTAGGCTTCTAAAATGCCTAAGGAGGTGTAACAGAATAAATGCCAATTCTTAGTGCTGTTTTAAGAAGGTAGGGCTTTAAAAAAGTATTTAACTTCTTTAATTCTTATATTTCTGTTAGCTTAGTTGTCCAATAAGCATATTTTGATTTTATGTAATTTTTTTAAGTTATCCAAAATGTGCTTGTGATAGATGTGGTAAATCAAAGAGAAACCAGATCCTATCTAACTTCTATTCAGTTTTTCTCCTATAGCTTACTGCCTTTCTATGGTAACTTTTTAGATCAGTAATCCTTAATTGTGCATAGCATTTTCTTTTCATTTAGTAGCAAATTAGGAATCATTATTAAAATAAACTCAACAGGGCAGCCCGGGTGGCTCAGCCGTTTAGTGCCGCCTTCAGCCCAGGGTGTGATCCTGGAAACCTGGGATCGAGTCCCACGTCAGGCTCCCCTCAGGGAGCCTGCTTCTCCCTCTGCCTGTGTCTTGCCTCTCTCTCTCTCTCTCTCTCTCTCTCTCATAAATAAATAAATAAATAAATAAATAAATAAATAAAAATCTTTTTAAAAATAAATAAACTCAACAGGGGCATCTGGGTGGCACAGTCAGTTGAATATCCCAACTCTTGATTTTGGCTCAGGTTGTTATCTCCAGATCATGAGATCGAGGCCCACATAAGTGCTCTGTGTTCAGTCTGCTTAAGACTCTCTCTCCTTCTCCCTCTGCCCTCCCCACTCAATGTGTGCATGTGCGCTCTCTCTCTCTTGAGCAAATAAATCTTTAAAAAATAAACTCAACAGGGGATCCCTGGGTGGCTCAGCGGTTTGGCGCCTGCCTTTGGCCCAGGGCGCGATCCTGGAGTCCCGGGATCGAGTCCCACGTCAGGCTCCCGGCATGGAGCCTGCTTCTCCCTCCTCCTTTGTCTCTGCCTCTCTCTTTCTCTGTCTATAATAAATAAATAAATAAATCTTTAAAAAATAAAAATAAACTCAACATATCCTCTTGCAACTGGAAGCAACATTTTTAATGACAATTTATGATCATTTAAATGGCTTCAAATAGTCTAAAATAGGAAATCTTTTTTCTTGAAAGAAACTATTTAAACATATTGGCCTAACAGGATTTTGCATGTATTGGATTTGTTTTTTAAAATTATGCAGGGCATGCAAGTCAGTATACATGGGCTACCCATCAAGAATTCTATGCATTTTTCTCTTCTCAGTAGCCACTTCCATCCATGTGGAAGAAAAGAGTGTTAAAGTAGTCTCACTCCCATGTACCTTTCTGCCAAGCAGAGCTTTAGATTTCTAGGCTTCCTTATTATTCGTTCACAATGAAAGTAACTGAACTAGGACCTAATGGTTCCAGGCTGTGATATATGCAAGGGCTCATTGAGAGCTACCACTGACTGTCCAGACATTGATAAAAGTGAATGTTCTGGTCTTTTCCTTCACAGAGTTATTAGCACTCTAATTTGGAATGTTGTTTATTAAAGATTATTAGGTTTTCTTTTGAACTTTTCATAAGCAACTTAATAAATGGAAGGTTTTATAGTTATGGTATTTCATTTGAAAATATTTTTGAGGGGCGCCTTGGTGACTCAGTTGGTTAAGTGTCTGCCTTTAGCTCAGGTCATGACCCTGGAGTCCAGGAATCGAACCTAGCATTGGGCTTCCTGCTCAGCAGAGAGTGTGCTTCTCCCTCTGCCCTTTCCCCCTGCTTGTGCTCTCTTTCTCTCATTCTCTCTCTCTCAAATAAAATATTTTTAAAAAAATATATTTTTGAAATGAGACTTTGCGAGGGATACGTATGTTTCTATCTAAACTCATTAACAATACTTCATGCTGATTTCCTGCTTTCTCTTATTTGATATAATTTTGCTCTTTTTTAAGACAATTTTTAGACTGAAACAGATCCTTTATATTTTTTAACCTTGCACGTATAATTAGCAGTCTGCATACCAGAGAATTATATAATTATGTAGACTTAGGATTTTAGTATTAGAATTTTAAAACTTCTTCCATAATTCTGTCTTGCTAACTAAAAGTTGCAATGCCTTTCTTTCTTGTTTCATTTACATATTTTACCTCTGAGTGTCTCTGTAAAAGTGCTAAAAATCCCATACCCTTAATATCTTCATGTCTTGCCATCTCCTAGAGCATTCCAGGAGGAAAATTTTCTCAGAAGGCTATGAAAACATTTGCTCATTTCCTCATTTTATTATTTCTTCATTTTTTTCCTTTTCATACTTTAATAATGGAAATGGTTATGGAAAATGTAAAACCCACCCATTGTGTGTTTATTTAGCTTTATAGAAATCTGCTATCCAAGTAGATGTTATTTGTACCTCTGTTACTGTCCTTTGTAATTCCCTGCAAGAAAGGATCCTTCCTGAGTTGGATCCTTCACAGTTTGCTTACATTAGAATTCTGATTCATTATATTCTTAAGATTTCTAATGCCATATAATACCTGAAGTGAGGAGTGCTTTTAATATATAAATTCTGCTGATCTAAAATAATAAAATCTTCTAACTACAAATCCTACCTACTTTAACCTAAAAATCTTCTCTTTATGGTCATATATCACTATATGACTTTCTGGTATGTCTCAGAAGCAGTTTTCCCTAGATTTAAGTTCTATAGCTTCTAGCTAAAGAAAATTTCCAGCAAATACAAAATAAAGAAGAGTGAACACATAGAACCTGATAGTTTGTTTTGATGTACATGTAGTTTTGGTAATAAAAGTGTTTTATATTGGTTTTCCTTTCCATTGTAAACTAAATTTATTTGGTAGTGATGTGTTTTCTTGTTTATGTCCAAAGGGCAGCCATTCTACAAAAGTGGAAGCTGTGGTCAGAACTCTGATGAGAATCCAACTTAGAGACCCAGGGGCTAAAGCACTCGTCTTCTCAACGGTATAATCAACATTTTCATTCTGAGTCTTACCTCAGACTGGCTTTCTGTCAGCTCATATCTAAGAACTCATGTTTAATGTTTGTTCTAATATAGTTGAGATTTAGAATTACTGTTAGATTTTCCATGTTCTTTTTTTTTTTTCTATTTCCATAGGATAAAATTATTTTTAGAGAAATTTGGTGATGCTTTACAAAGGCAATTTCTATAGCTACATTTCCTGTTAATGTTTTATGGGCATTTTCTAATGTTAATATGTTAAAAATTAGAATCTGTAACCTTGAAAGTCTCATTCCACAAATTAAATTGGTTATTTGAGAAAAAGAAAAAGTAATCTATTGAATAAAATATGAAGTAAAAGTTGTAGTTTTTATTTTTAAAAGATAGGCAACTTTATCCATTAAGCATTCCATTATTTATGTTTATCTTAATTCAGTTCCCAAAAACACCTATGTCTTTTACCCTAAATTTAACCAGCATTTGACTTAAAACAAACAAACAAAAACCACTGCCATTTTGGTAGTGTAAAATAATATTGGTGGAACCACATTTGAAAGTTTGTTTTTATGTTAATTCTGAAGTACAAAAGTAACTTAGATTTAGTTCCTTTTCAATTCCTTTTTATGTGAAAACTATACAAAAATTTGTTTTATTTTTTTTATGTGTTCTAGTGGCAAGATGTATTAGATATTATTTCAAAAGCCCTCACTGACAACAACATGGAATTTGCTCAAATCAGTCGTGTTAAGACATTTCAGGTACGTCAAGAATATTTTTACTTTTTTTGAGGGGAGATTTAGTACTGCTGTTAATAGCTTACTTGCATTTATTGTCTTGTGTAAAGATTTGAGTTATTGATTCATTATAAAACTAACATTCAAAAGCAAAGTAGAGAAACTAATTATTTTCTATCTATTCATTTATACCCATAGCAAGGTCATTTTTTTTTTAAGATCTTCTGACTTGAGGTCGTTTGCTTCAATAGAGGAAAAGATGATCTGTGATACACCTGTTCAATGGACAGGGCCCTCATGCCAGGATTAGGTTCTCAAGACACTACACCAGGAAAAACCCTATGTGGTCAAATTGCTTACGCTACGCTCAGCACGACGACTGGCGCACACCCTGAGACAAAAACACAAAAGAAGACCAAGTAAAAATGTAACAGATTCATGTCTCTGATCTCATCCTCACTCTGGCACACACTTTCTTTTTCTCTCTCATGTAGTTTAATTGGCATACATCAGGTACATGTATCTTGTGTTTCCACTGTATCATAAAGAATAAGAGAGTTTATGTGACCGTTGTCCTCACGAAGGTCAGACAAGTTTACATTTTCTGAAATCGGTAATTTATATTTAATTGTCTTAATTATTCATTTCACAGTGACCTGAATACTATTAGGCTTCTTAATATGAGCTATAATATACTGCTCTAAGTGATCCAGCTAAAATTTAAATATACCTTTCTTTTTTTAGGAGAACCTTTCAGCATTTAAACATGATCCCCAAATCAATATCTTGCTGCTGCCCCTGCACACAGGTTCTAATGGATTAACTATCATTGAAGCAACTCATGTTCTCTTGGTGGAGCCCATCTTGAACCCTGCCCATGAGCTTCAGGCCATTGGGAGGGTGCACCGGATTGGACAAACAAAGTAAGGACTAAAGTTAGCATCAGTTACATTTGCTTCCAGTTTCTAAGATATAAATCAGTGGTTAAACTCTTCATTTATGTTCATATAACCTATTCATTTTTAATGACTTATTTATTAAATGTTCAAGTATATGACCAAAAGACATTTTGAGATTTCCAACCCTCCCTCCTCCAAACAGCAAATCCCTGAATTCTCCCATATTTGTGTCTCCCTTCTTGGAAAAATTACGCTGTTCACTTCACCAAAACAGTTTCTTAAACTAAGCTGCACAGTTGAAAGCATCCATCATGACTTTGAGGAGAAGTGATTTTTGATTGTTTTAAGTAGCCTGTTTTTAAAAGAAGGCATATCCCATTCATGACTCCTTTTTAAATTCTTTCCCTTAGGAAAAGATAGTCCCTTAGGGCTACTCTAAGAGGTAACTAGATTTAGCTGAGGCCCAACCTAATAGTGAGTATTGTGTAATATCTGCTACTTTCATTCAAATGTCAGAATAGACAGTTACCTTTCATAAGACCTCTTAGATGTATTACCTCCTAGATGGTAGATGCCTTGAATGTTTAAAAAAAATCTGTACTGAGTGTTCATTAAATATTGACTGAGTGGCAACTATATGTCACTCATTATACTAGATATTGAAGACTCAAATTGAGTAAGACATAGTCTGCTCCCCCAAAGAGGTTGCTATGTAGTACAGGAAGCAGAAGAGCTGACCTATTGCAGCAGAGTGTGCAAAAATGTAATAGAAGTACTGTGGTAACAGAAGGGAGTCATTAGTTGTGCTTAGAGTCATGGAAGGCTTCATTAGGTTGAGTCTTGAACAATTACTTCAAAGCTAGGCTAGAAAGGGGTGCTCACACAGCCAAAGAGAGTTGCATGTGCAGGAACACAGAGGAGATAAACACCAGGAGATCCCTAGGGACCCAAAAGAGTTTAGAATTGCTTAGGAGTAGAGTATGTGGAGAGGAGTAACAGGAGATGCCATCTTGTATGACCTACTGTTAAAAGCTGGATTGTTCTGTAAGCAATAGCCAGGAGAACAAATGAGGACTTTTAGTTTTCAGCATGAAAGAGACATGTTCATCAAACAAACCCATAGTAAAATATGACAAAGTAACATAACTGTAATAACTGCACACTTGTTCTAAGTACTGTCCAGTGTCATTTAAAATGCAGTTATGTCTTATTTGGTTGGGGTTTTTTGGGTTTGTTTTTTCTTATATTTTTAAACATTGCCGCCTTGTCTTATCACTGTTTTCCAAAGCATGGACTGGATTCAGCTCAGATGAAAGGCCATTCAGCACTACCTGACAATCCTACTATGCTTCCCTAGTGGATAGATTTTTTTTCCATTTTCTGAAGAGATGATCTTAAAAGTCTTCTATAACTTCCTGCTCCCCACTGATGACAGTCTTGCCACATATGTAGAACACAGATAAAGTCAGATTTGAAGCATCTCATCTTTCCATCACCAACTTGAGTAATATACCTGCATCAATACCCACATACTTCATTCAGTAAATTTTTATTGAGCACCTTCTGTGTGCCAGGCACTGTTCTAGGTATTTGAGATGCCCTCATGGAAATTATGAGAGTTGGTAGAGAGACAGATGGTGAACAATAACATAAGTAAAATATATGCTATGTTAGGAGCTGGAAAAGTAGAGTAGGGAAGGAGGATAAAGAGTGCATTTAGGGGCAGCCGGGTGGCTCAGTGGTTTAGCGCCGGCTTCAGCCCAGGGCATGATCCTGGAGACCTAGGATCGAGTCTAACATTGGGCTTCCTGCTTGGAGCCTGTTTTTCCCTCTGCCTGTGTCTCTGCCTCTCTCTCTCTCTGTGTGTCTCTAATGAATAAATAAATAAAATCTTTAAAAATAAAGAGTGCATTTGGCAGGGGATTCCTGAGTGGTCCCATTGGTTAAATGTCCACCTCTTGATCTCACCTCAGGTCTTGGTCTCAGCGTTGTGAGTTCAAGCCCCAAGTTGACCTAGCATGGAGCCCAGTTAAAAAAAAAAAAAAAAAGTACATTTGGCTAAGCAGGATGGCATGCAGGTTTTTTTTTTTAAAGAGAAGGAGGAGCAAGGGGCAGGGAGGAACAGAGGAAGAAAGAGAATCTTAAGCAGGCTCCATGGAGCCTGACATGGGGTTATGGGGCTTAGTCTCTCAACCCTGACATCATGACCTGAGCCAAAATCAAGAGTCAGATGCTTAACCCACAAAGCCACCTGACATGCAAGATTTGTATGGGGAAGGATTTTCAAGCAGATAGCACACTTAGTGAAAAGACCCTGTCAAGACTGTGCCTGGTATGTTTGAGGAATAGTAAGGAGCCAGAGTTACCGAAGCAGAATAAGTAAAGGGGAGAGTAGTAGTAGATGAAGTCAGAGAGCTGGTAGGGGAGGGGATTTTATAGGGCCTATGAGGTCACTATGAGGACCTTGATTTCACTGTGTATAAGATAGGGAACCAACGGCAGGCTTTGAGCAGAGGAGTGACAAGTTCTAACTTGTTTTGAGATAATCATTCTGAGTGCTATATGTTCAGGGCCAGGGGAAAGGGGAACATATGGGAAGTAGAAGAAGAGAAAACAGTTAGGAGGCTGTTGTGTAATCTTAGTAAGAGTTAAAGGTGACCTGAACCATGGGAGCAGCAGTGGATATGATGTGAAGTGGTCAGGTTCTGGACATATTTTGAGAACCAGTAGTTATGTGTGGACAGAGTAGACATGGGATGTGAGCAAGTCAAGGTCAATGCCATGGTTTTTGACCTAGAAAACTAGAAGGATGAAGTAGGTTTCAGATGAGCCAGGAAGGACTACAGGGTAGAGCAGGTTTGGTAAGGAAAGAACAGGAGTCTATTTTAAATAGAAATTTGAGATGTTTGTTTGATATTTATTAGAAAAATGGAGATAGGTATTCTGTAATTGGATGTACAAGTCCTGAGTTCAGGAGAAGTCTGTGCTAGAGATATATTTGAAAGTCAACAGCATATAATGGTATTTTTAAGTCACGGGGCTGAGTGAGATTACCAAGGGAATGTGTATAGATAGAGAAGAGGATCAACGACCGGACTCCAGAGCACACCAAAGTTAGAGGCCATGGGAGAAGAGAAAGAACCAGCAAAGGTAACAGATGGAAATCAAACAATGAGTTGGGAAGAAAATCAGAATAGAGAGGTTCCTGGAAGTCAAGTAAAGAACGTAACTCAAGAAGAAGGATATGACCAACTGTATCAACAACTGTATTATTAAAATGCCAAGTAAGATAAAAAATGAGAATTGACCCTTAAATTTAGCAGAATGGAGATCGAAACCAGTTTTGGTAGTTGTGGAGGCGATAGCCTGATTTGAGTATGAGAGAGAATAGGGTTTCATTTATTTATCAACAAACACTTATCTAGCAGAGAGGGTTTAAGTAATTTGTCCAAGGTCACATAGGTAGCAAAAGTGGCAGCAGGTTTCAAACATAGCTCCTCTGCCTCCTCAATCATACTTTTAAGCACAGTACACTGCTGTCTCTACATCGCTGATGGGACTCGTATTTTGAGCAGTTTTGCTTCAAAGAACAGAGAAAAGGAAGAGTATGAGATCAGGAAGTTTTTTTGTTGTTGCTTTTTCCTTTCATATGGGAGAAATAGGAGCAATCCATTAGAAATGGAGAACTAGTGAAGCAAGAGAGAAGAGAGAGTGCCAGAATAATACTCAAGTGCAAACCTTTGTTGTAGGTAGAGGTATGAATATTTCATCTATAGCAATAAGCAGGAAGGCACAGTATGTTCCTTCCCTTTTATTACAGTGGGTGAAATGTCCCTTTTCTTTCAAAAGCCAGCCATTCCACTTGTTATAGGTCCCATCCCTTCTCATATTCTCAAGGACATTCCTCTTGTAATATATGACCAGATAAATATGTCTTAATATCATCTGCTTTAAAAACACTCCACTGCCCACCTTCCCCTTCTTAACCTTCTTCTCTCAGCCTTTCCGGTTGAGTTTTTGTCCTCACTGTGCCACTGAAATGTGATTCATAATATTATTAATGACCTCCTTCTTGCCATTGGTCCCTGCAGGTTCTTTTTTTCTTATCTACACTTCTAGATGAGCTTATCCAGTTCCAGAGCTTTAAGTAACATTTATATGTGGATGACTCTCAGATATATGTCCCTGGTCTAGACATGCCCTTTCAGCTCCTGTCTCAGACTCTCATTCTTTTGCTTTTGCTTCACCCATAGCTGGACTCCACCTCCCCTTAGATACCTAGCTAATGGAAAACTCAGATTTAACATGGGTAAAAGAAAGTGTATTCCTACTGCATTCCCACCCACTCCAAGCCCTCCCCATCTTATAATCTGACTCTCTTAACTGTAGTTTCTCAGACCATAAATCTAAGACTCTTCTATACTTCTCTCTTTGTGCCACACATCCAAACCATCACTGAAGCCTTGCCAACTCTACCTGCAAAAGATATTCCAGACCTGATAGTTACTGTTTCCATGGAAACAACCAGAACACAACTCTCCATCTTATCTGGACTCCTACAGAACCCCTTAACTGACTTCTTGGTCTTCCCTTTGCTAATAGGCCATCTCCCACGCAGCAGCCAAAGGGGTGTCTACAGTATAATCAAGTATAAATCAAATCACGCATAAAACCCACGGATGACTTCCCTTCATAACCACAATAAAACCCAGATTCCTGCCTTGTCCCTCCAGACCCTACACAATCTGTTTCCTGCCCACTCTCCAATCTTATTTCCACTCCCTGCCTCTCTGTTAAAATACACTTCTGCCACACTAGGCTTCTTTCTGCCCTTCATACATTTTAGGCTTGTTCCAAGCATGTTCTCTTCCCAAGAGCTTGCATTTATTTATTGTTGCTTCTGTTTAGATGCTCTTTCTGCTCCTTGGCTTAGCAGCCTCATTCCCATCAGTCATGTTTCAACTCATATGTCAGCTTCCTTATGGCATTATCTGTATCATCTAATTTATGTGTTTATTGTGTGTCTGGTCTGCCCTCATTAGAATGTTAGTTCATTAAGACTAGTTTGTTTTATTTACTGCTGACCACCGCCCCAGCACCTTGATTAGTACTTGCCACAATGGGCACCATGTGACTGATGAATATAGCATATAATATGTGAAGTCTTGTTTGTTCTAATTGGTTTTAAGAAGTTTTTGAACTTACCATTGTTTCATACCTTCTAGACCTACTATTGTACACAGATTCTTAATTAAAGCAACAATAGAAGAAAGAATGCAGGCAATGCTGAAAACTGCTGAGAAGAGGTACATCATAATCTGCTACAAGCCTGATGGATGTTACCTGTTTATATAAGGTTATACAAGTGTTGGGACTTCTTCACTTAAATGACCAGATACATTTTTTAAAGGCAAAACAGGACATTTTACCTATCTAAAATTTTCCAGTTAATGCTCTGGACATCCTATATTTGACTTAATTTATTAATAGAGATTGTAATGTTTAAAAATATTTAAACTGCCCTACATTTCTTTGCCATATTGGATTACTTTTTAAAGAAATCTATCTTTATGCCCACCCTAAAAGCCTTCGTCTGATATCTCTAAAAGGAAACTTACAGTGTTGCTTTATACATCACACATGCTGGTCACATGCACATGAGAAGATCTGGACTTAAAACTCAGCTGATGATTGTGATATTTGTTCCAAAGGCAGAACAGAAGCAGAGAGACCAGAGTGACCTTAATTTTAAAAACTTAATTTTAGGGACTCCTGGGTGGCTCAGTGGTTGAGCGTCTGCCTTTGGCTCAGGGTGTGATCCTAGAGTCCTGGGATCGAGTCCCACATCGGGCTCCCTGCGAGGAGCCTGCTTCTCCCTCTGCCTGTGTCTTTGCCTTCTCTCTGTCTCTTATGAATAAATAAATAAAATCTTAAAAAAAAAACTTTAAAATTATAAAATTTTATAAAGCTTAAAAATTATAAAACCTTCTAATATTTATTCCATAATTTTCTTCAAAGTCATTTTGAAAACATAAACCAATGCCTTACTATATATCCTTATGAGATAGGCATGGTTGGCAGATACAGAGGAATGATTGTCTTGGAAGGGATGTCTATACAGAGGCACAGTGCATAGCAAAGAAGCAATTTGAACCAGAAATCTCCTTCCATTGGTGGTTTATGAGAAGGAAAGAGTCTACTGTGAAAGCTATTTGCATCAGACATGAAGACTTTTTATTGCTGCTGTTTCCATGTGTAACAGAAATCAGCAATTATAGTTAAGCTGCTTAAATAAAATAGCAGTTACAAGAGCTGTTGAAATTCTCTTCAAATACACTAACTTTGGGTAGTAAGAAGGCAAATTCTAAGGTGAGAGCTTTAGCAGCATTTGGCATGGGTTCTGTTTATTTTAGGAATTGGGGAGAGAAAAGACATTTTATAACAAAACCTAAAAGTGCTATACAGAAGTCTTCACTAATTTTGATGAGATGTACTCATGATCCTGTCATTGACTTTCTTCTTGAAGATTTTTATGGTTCACTTACAAACACGAGCAAATATGTTTTTATATTATAAGAATATTTTTATATCATTATGTCTTAATATTATTATGAGACTAGAGCAAAATATAACACAAATGTAACCATTTATTCCTTGGTTTCTTTCTGACTCTACTTCCTTGGGAAACCCTGCAGTCACACGAGCTCATCGGTGAAGCATCCCGAAGCTTCCGTCTTAACCTTGGCTGATCTGGCAGATCTGTTTACCAAAGAAACTGAAGAACTTGAATGAAGTACACTTGATTCAATCCAGAGACTTTACTGTAGTTAAGTTTTTCATTGCTTATAGAGAAGGTTACAAGTAAAAAATCCAGTAGATGTCAGTAAATACTGTTCTTCATTGAATGAATTTCTTTTTTTAGTTGTATGGTGTCCTAGTAGTTACTGAGTCCTTTCCAATTATCTTGTTTCCAAAAGATCTATAAAGATTTTTGATCTTACACTCCTAATACAACATTTATTTTTGTCCCAAAGAATAACTACATCTGATGATGCAAGGGAATTAAGAGAGGTAATGTGTACTTTTCTTTTGATAAGATCAGTCTTAAAAAGAATTGGAGTAAGGGAGAGAATAAACTGGTCTAATTTTATATGACCTAGTATATTTGACCCACATAAATCTCGTTTTGGAAGGGCCTTCAGTATCTTTAGTACATGATTCACCAATATCTTGGTAGTAATATTTTAAGTAGATGGCAAATTATATTAACTTCTAGTTATTTGAGTAGCTTTAGACTATACCTCCATGCATAGTGGCTTTACAGTAATAATATTCCTAACAATAAGTTAACATTAGGCAAGTTTTTCTTTTCTCTGTATGTTGCTACTAAAAATTGAAACATTGAACACTTTTCTTATTTCTATGATGTGTTAAGCAGTGTCAGTGTATGCAGTGAACTTTAAATAGCATTTTAAGTGTATTCATGTTTATCATAAAATTATCTAAACTGCTTTTTCTATTTTTAATTTTCCTTGTTTTTACATATTTCAAGATTGATATATCTGTAAATATTGCAGTTTTTATCATTTTATCTCTTAATCATAACATGGAAGTATGGCCAGGTTTTGTGTTTTGGTTTTTTGTTTTTTGTTTTTTTTTTTTTCATTATTATATTGATGTCTTGGATTCTTTTCCTTTCCTGTGTTGTTGGGAAACTAGACTTTTAACCACTAGTATCTAAATTTGTGATAATTTGTTATTTTATTTTACTAGGACTTCTCTCAAGGACTAGTATTTGATCTTTGGAACAAGAGAATGTCGTATTTACATAAGCAAATAATTGCAGCTGATAACTGAGTGTTTCTTCTTCTGTGAAGAATTAATGGACTTTGAAATCACTAAATAAGGAGTAGGTTATTTTATCCTAGACATTTGATGTAACACAACTATTCTTGTTTCATTTTCTTTGAGCCTCCAGAGTTTTAAATGACCCTCAGGACTCATTAGCTCCTATTTAGCTGCCCAGAAAACTGTAATAGAAATATCCCTTATATCACATTTGTCCAAGAAGCTTTGGTGCTTAGTTAAGGTGCATTTTCTTATTCTAGGTTTATAGGGTGACATAATTCCACTGAAGAAAACACACACACGTTTTTGGTGCTTATTCTTCAGTTGAAGGAAGATATGCATTGATTCTTTTATATGAAATTAAACAAGACTATTATTTTTGTAGCTCTTTACATATTATAAAGAGCTTTCCTGTACATTCACATTCAGCTTTAATTTGCCCAACAGTCCTGTGAAGTTGGAATAACTAATATCATTCCTCTTATAAAGGTAGAGAACCAAGGTTCAGAAATACAGAGAACCATGCTTGTGACACGTAGCAAGGCAACAGTGGAGCCCAGATGCCCTAACTCCCAATCTCATGGTCTTTCTCTAAATCTTCTGTCATGCTGAGATTCAAAAGGTCCATGGTTATAATTTGATGATCAGCATATTTCAGTATTTCTGTTTGTTTCCTAGTATTCCTTTTTGAGCTAAAGTTTTAGGGAAAACAATTTGATATGCTTTGATTTTGTAAAAAAAAAAAAAGAAAAGAAAAGAAAAGAAAAAAATATATAAATACACCTATCTGTATTAGAGAAAAACTGTTCTTATTTATTTCTGTAAGATATCATTAAATAAATATTTTAGTGGAAATTGAAATTTGGGGATTTATTAATTTCTGAGCTATACAACATTCAGTATATTTTCTTGTTTTTTGTTTTGGTCTCTTAACAAAAGATGTCAAAATTGTTTTTACTATAGAATTCCATATTTTATAGACATTTATCATTTGTTCAAAACAGTCACAGCATTTCTCCCAGAAAGTTGGTCAAAACAAATACAGATCTAATCCCCACATCTTCTTGGCTGCAAATGAAGGACTTTTCTGTTTCCTTCTTCCATCATTTTATATTTTCTGAACTATTACTGTGCTCATAAATAGTTGTTCTGAAGTGGGTGCTGTTCTAATGAACCAGTGAGGAAAAAAAAGATCGTGCCAATCCTTAAAGAGCTTAAATGTATTTGGCTCTGGGGAAGTATTCTCCATTACATGAATCCGAGTCAGCTTATTAGGACTGAAAAGATGAGTTGTATACAGTGTAAAATACATGTGCCTAATTCCATATTCCTTTGCTTCAAACCAGATAACTTTACTGTTTATTGCAGCTTCAGCTTTTCTCGTGGTCTTTATTGTGGCAGAATGATCCATGTGTTTGGCTTTTTAGGGATTCATCCTTTTCATGTCCTCTTAATAACGAACTAAAAAACTATCGACATGGTAATTCAAGATGTGACCACAAATGCTTTATGAATAATTACAAACTCATAATTTGATAAATATTCAGGAATGGAATTGAGCCATACAAGATTAGTCATCAACTTAAAATGCCCTTTCAAGTAGACAAAGAAACAAATTGTCTTTTAAATCTTCTCCTGCTCTCATTTACTAGATTTAGTAAATTGAAATTTTAGTGTGCTTGAATTCTTTATTAAACTACAGAATAACCTTTTGAAATGCAAAAATCACCTATGCTAAAATGAGATCAGGCTTAGTTAAATTAAATAAAAAGTATCTTGGGGGGGGCACCTGGCTGGCTCAGTGGGTAGAACACGTGACTCTTAATCTTAGGGTCATGAGTTCAAGCCCTATGTTGGACATGGAGCTTACTTTAAAAAAGGTATCTTTCAGTTTTTCTAGAATTTAAACAAAATCCCCCCAATAACGTCATTTCATGATCTTTAACTGGCATGCCAATATAAAAATGAAATATCATTAAAACAGTACAGTGCAAGCAATGTATTTTGAGCCTGTCTACTCTGATAAGGGAAATCTAATCTTTAATAATATTTCTTCAAAACGGGACCAATTAACTATATTTTATAAAATGTATGAGAATCTCCATGTATCTCTGTTATATTGTGAAACCCACAAGAATGCTATCTCCTTAAGGTTAAATAGGAACCACTCCCAAGCCTTCCTTTAGAGGAGGAGCCTGCAGGGTAATTGACAACCCAAGGAGCATTCCAAGTCTCAGGACAGGTATAAGGTGTTGCATCTGAATTCTAGAAAGCGCAATGTCACAGACAGAAAATAGCACGAGAACCTGTCTTCCCTTACCTTCAGCCAGCCTTTCCAGGACACACATACCTTGTCTTTGAAGGTCCCATACCATCCCTCATATTCTTTTCCATTATTTAGTATCAGTGACTTAAGACTGATTGTGCTTGTTGAAACTGACCTTCATTATATGGAAACTGAATCCTTTGTACTGCAACTTATGTATGCAACTTCTTACAAACCAGAAATAAAATTTAGCCTCCTCTATCTGTATGATGATCGTTTGTATAGGTGTCTATTATTAAATTGTTCAGTAACTTTCTTTCTTCCTATCAAATAACCCATCCCTTCAGTCTTTTCTTAAAAGTCTTCCTCCAAAGCCCTTTGTTATATTTGTCTCCTGGAAACTGGTTCTTATTTATGCTCCACACTTCTGATAGAGCCTGATCAGGGAACAGTTTTGTCCAAGGACTGATACTGTTTGTGTGAGATCGTGATTTGTATACCAGCACAAGTGCCTTATGGAGCAAATATTTGTTCCCAAATTTCCTTAGAAATCTAGTGCCTCCTCACTTTGTTAGTGACTTGTTTAGAGTATATCTACGGAGATTACCTGTGTTTATTTTCTGTCATTACCATTTAGTTTATATTTACCACATCCCTAATTCTGTACTCAGAACTGCAAAGGCATGTTATGCCCCCTTCTGTTTCCCAGCTTCCTATAATCACATGAGAGCTACATCCAGTTATTTTTTCAGACTCCTTTTTTTTTAATATTTATTTATTCACGAGAGATGCAGAGAGAGGCAGAGACATAGGCAGAGGGAGAAGCAGGCTCCCTCTGGGGAGCCTGATGCAGGACTCAATCCCAGGACCCCGGGATCATGACCCGAGCCAAAGGCAGACGCTCAACCACTGAGTCACCCAGATGCACCTTTTTCAGACTCTTCATAAAAATTTCCACTGACTAAGAGGAGAGCATTATTGCCTATTGATTGTGTTGAAAATATTTTCCTTTGGCAGACACGAAAAGATGTCTTTGGTAAATGCAAACCTATGCTTAAGAAGAGAACTTAGTGCCTGATCTTGCTTTATTGTATCAGTATTTATCAGTGATTAGTTATTAAACTATTAAGCATCATTATGGGATGTTGTATTTACTTAAAACTTCTTCTGGGCTTCTCACTTTTTAAGTCTATAATTGATTACCTGGTTACTTCTTTTATTCTGCAGGTGACCATTCTACCTTGCTTCCCACATGACTGCTTACCAGCATGATACAGTACAAATAAATACATAGCACTTCTGTCCTCTTATTAAGTTGCTAAGGACAACTCAGATAAGCAGACATCTGATTTATGCAATAAGTTCTTTTAAAAGGATGATTATTTTTACTCATAGTCTTTATGCATACAGCAAAGGATTGGCAAGTTTCCTTCTTAAATGGTTTTGGTCTTTCAAGCATTAAGATAAAGATCTTTACTGATTAAACCACTTTTTAATTCTCTTCTTTCTTCCTTTCTTCTAATCTGTTCTGTTCTTCCTCAGTTTTGAGACTGTTTGTCTCTATCAGAAAAGTAGTTTATCCACCATTACATAAAAGGGTACTTACCAGATCCCCTACCCGAACAGTCCTAACGGAGTCAGTGGGCTTGGGGAGTGAGCAGGGCACCCCTCAGATGAGCTTCGGAGGGCACCCCCCAAGAATTGTAAATAGCTGCAGCTCCCTGGACAGAGTACTATAGCAGCCCAAACTAATGACATGACCCATATAAATAAAAGCCATTAAAGCCCTCAGTAATTTTGATACATATGAAAGTCCTGAGACCAAAAAATTTGGGAACAACTGCAATAGCCTATTTTTAAAGTATCTTCAATTACATACTTATTCATTAAGAACAAGGTAGGGAATGGCAAAAATTTTCTAGCCAGGCATAAATTTGCTGTATGTACATGTTTATTGATACAGACAAAAGTTTATGTTAAAAAATCTACCCACACAGCAGCAACAGTATATGCAAGTTTGGTGGATCTTGTATATAACAAGGGTTCTGTTTAATTTTGCATCATGGACTGTTTAAAAAAAAAATGGTTGAGTTGCATATAACGCTGACTTTGAACCAAATGCTGTTGCCATATGAATATAAAATGGAATAATGATAATCATTCTGTGGCTGCTCTGTGACCACAGAGATAATTCTCACCTGTGAATGGTGAGTTGTATAAGTCACCTCTGGTAGGCCACAGTTTCCAGTATCAATCAAATAGTAATCCGTGTGTTGCTGTGAAAGTGTTTTATAAGTTTGGTTAAAGTCCGTATTCAGCCAACTTAAAAGGAGAGGATTATTCTAGATGACCTGGATGGGTTTGATTCAGTCAGTAAAAGGGCATTAGGAGCAGAAGTGAAACTTCCCAGAAGAAATTCCACCTGTGGACAGCAGCGTCCACTCATGCCTGAGAGTCCCCGCCTGCTCTATAGACTTTGGACTTGCCAAACCAACATCCACAATCACAAGCCAATGCCCTATAATACTTTACTATATCTCTCCTGCTGGTTTTGTTTCTCTGATCGAACCCTGAACACATAGACCACCCTTGGTTACCACTTTTAAATAGCATTATCATATTTCTTAGAAAATACACCCAAAAGTGTCTAGACATAGCCTAAACGTTTGTATATAGAAGGAAGATTGCAGTGGGAAAAAAAAGGTTTTTAAATTAGTATTACTAGTGTCCATTATGGCTTCCAGTGTGGCATGTGCACATTGCAGGAACAGGCAAGGAGATCATTAAGGTGTGGAAAAAAGATATTGGAACTTCTATTGAGTTGGGAGGATTATTTGTAAAAAGAGAAATTTAGCTTCCTCTTACTAAATACACAGATGAATAGTAACACCCTTATTCCCATCCACATATATGGCAGTCATATGTCACCTATGTAAGTGGAGATGGGAGGTCCTCACACATCAGGCAAGGAAGGGTGAAGAATTTCATTTTTGTATCAAGATGTTGGAGGGTAAAAGCTAGTCACCTTCCCTACTAAATGCAGAGGAGGGATGTATAGCATCCAATATGATTTTGATTATCCATAAGAAAGAAAGTTTAGAACATAAAATGGGTTCTTGAAGAGATAGTGAAATCATTTCTGAAAGTTCAAGAAAAGACGGAGTTTTATCAAACTACAAATGAACTCTAAGGTTCCTTTAAGTCCTTTAGTTAATGATGGTATTTCCCATTCTAGGTTTTATTTTCTTTTTCCCAAAACACGTGGCGTTAAATTCCAGAATCTCTTTACCCAAGTGAATAATAAATACCAAAAAGAGGGGCACTGCTATTTTCCCTTTCTAAAAAGCTCATAAGCAGGAAATGCAACTTTTTTAAAATTTAATCAAGAATTAAATGAATTCAGTAGAAAAGGCATTGCCTTCCACTGGGTATGCAGTAAATAGTTGTTGAATTTAATTCATTGGAATAACTGATAAACATGGCTCACATCAAAGCAGAGTTGTGAGGGCTGCTGAACCATTTGCAAAAATCCAGTCCACTAAAGAGACCTGGCTAATTATAAACACTGAGAAATCATTTCACATTTCTCCTACTGTACTATTCCCGTGTGTTCCACATTTGATAGTACGTACTGTTTGATTTTTATTCTTTGATTTTGATATCAGTAACTGTTACACTAACTTTTATCTCTAAGACTTATTTAATATTGCATTGAGCTGTTTAGGTTTTTTTGGACTTCCATGAATCCAGCTTTCAAAAAATGTGGTAGCTCTGCCCTGAAATTACAAGACAACTGCATTGTCAGTGGATCTGTTGTTGAGGCCAGCATAAAATATTAACCATGTTTCTCTCACACTAGTGTCAGGAAGCAAGAATTTCCTGTTCCCTTCAAGGTCTTTATAGATGGACTAAGAAATTGACATGAGACAAATTAACAGGAGAAAGTCAGATATAATCTCGAACATACGGGGAATCCACACAGACATGGAAATTCCATGACAAGCAAAATGTCTATATGTCATTCTGAACTAAGAGAAAGGGATGGAGTCTGGGACATCAGAGGGATGGAATGCAATTCACAGGAAGTTGAAAAAGAGTAAATGTTTGCTGAGCCACTGAGAAATAATGGGGCACAAAGGACTTTGACCAAATAGGCCTTACCCAGTTCATAAGATAATGTGGTTAACTATGGTGATAGCTCTCTTCCTGGAGCAGGTCCTCTATCTAAATTCTTTTAGACAGTAGTAGGGGGTCGGGGGGGGGGGGGAGCGGGGAGTAAAAAGCTTTTCCAAAATCTGCTGGGGTCTGACTGCTTTTTAACTCAATAATCTTCATGCCAAAATGGCCCATTCTGGGGCAGCCTGCCCTTGGCCCCTACACTAGACTAAATCATGGGGTTTTTTTCCTCTCCAATTGGAAGCAAATTCAACCTTAAAAAGCACTGATATCCAATAATAAAAAGCCCAGTTTAAAAATGAGCAAAGATTTTGTGTATGTGTGTGTGTTTTATAGACATTTTTATTTCAAAATGAAGACATTGAAAGCATAAGAAATCCTAAAGTCCTATGAAATTACTTCAAAAATATCCTATGTATTTTGTATTGCCACAATATAGTGCCACTAACTGGCCTCAAAAACGATTATCAGGTAGTACAAATAGTAGCATCTTAACTCTGAAGGTTTTTTTCCCAACTTTAGCAAGAGGAATGACTGACAAATTGTATATCCATTTAAAGTGTACAGTGTGATGATTTGATATACATACACGTTGTGAAATGATTACTAGGACCAAGGTAATTAACACACCATCACCCCACATAGTTAAAAATCTTTTTCAGTGTGTGGTAATAAAGCTTAAGATCTATTGTCAGCAAGTTACAAGTGTACAGTCCTGTACTGCTAACTAAAGTCCTCATGCTGAACTTTAGAATCTCGGAACTTACTCACCTTATAACTGAAAGTTTGTACCCATATCTCCCTTCCCTCCAAACAAAACTATCTAAGTGGCCAATAAGCACATGGAAAGATAATTAACAGTATTAGGGAAACGCAAATAAAATGCAATCAAAACCATAGTGAGGGATTGGAGGATGGGAAGAGAGGAATGCACAGGCAGAGCACTGACGGATTTTAGGGCCGTGAAACTCTTCCGACACTGCAGTGGTGGCTACATCACTATATGTATGTCAAAACCCATAGAATGTGCAACACCAAGAATGAACCCGAAGTGAAATAAGTCAGACTGAGAAAGACAAATATATTGACCCAGC